TAAAATGATGTTTTTTAATTATTATTAAAATGCATCGACGAAAAAATAGCCTCTCTCTCATATTATATGTTAGCTGAAATTCTTTTATAGATATATATATAATGAAAAACATTAAAATAGCAGATGATGTTGTCTAACTCTGAGTGATGTGATCATTTATCACGATTTCTTTGATTTTGGAATACAACAAGCACGCTAACATTAGTATATTAATTTGTCTTTCACGTACTGATGAGAGAAACAAAGATCAGACGTTACACCTACAAATTGATTTGCAACTCTTAAACAAATGTGAAAGTTCATCATAGGATTTATGATTGTTACAAATATTACTAATCAAAAATGGAAAAGTATTTCGACACGTTTATGGGCATGGGTAATGTAGTTACGTCCGCATGTCTGTAAACTCTGAATCCTATAAATGAACCATTTCTATTTATTCTTACGCCAATACATTATTAGTGTGCTATACAGCTGTTGCTAAAAAATTATATTTAAATTTATGAGAAAAATATATTAAAACTATTTTTTAAAAAATTACATTATTATTTATATTTAAACGACACTTATAATTTGTATAACTTACTCATCTTATATTGTAATAATTTTTCTAACACAAATCATATAATAACTTTATACAAAAATTTATTTAATTGATATACGAATTATTAATTTCTAACTAATATTAATAGATAATTTAATTTTTATTATAAATATAATAATATACTTTATATATACAATATGAATGTCAAATCAAAATTCGTCAAAAGGTATTAATTTGATATATCACAATGAAAAACCAATAACAAATACAGGAGTTACTGATTTTTAAAATATATTTGTAATCAAAGATAGTAAATGTTTAATACTTTTAAAGCAGTGTTTTGAGACCCGGACCGGCCCGGTGGGTCAACCCGGGACTCGGTCGACCCGGAGCCGGAACCAGTCCGGGTGGAGTATTTGGACCGGGAAACCAAGGACCCGGTCAAACCCGGTCAAAACCCGGCTGACCCGGCAGAGACCCGGCCGACCCGGGGCATTGACTCGGCCGGGTCAACCCAGTTGACCCGGTCCATATATATTTTTTATATTTTTTTATTTTTTTTTAATTTTTTAAAAATAAAAATATGTATATATGTTTATATGGTAAATGTTTATTATGAAATACATATTATTAACACTTTAATATACAAATTTTATACACAAAACATTTAATTTGTTACTTTTATGTATTTTAAAAAATTTTAAATTAATTATCCGGTTCAGCAATTGACCCGGTGACCCGACGGTTGAACCGGTGACCCGGTGACCCGAGGACCTGCCCGGGTCGATCACCGGGCCGGGTTTAAAAACTATGTTTTAAAGTACTAATAGATATGGATATAAATTCAAGCCTACAAGTTACGGGTAATTTATTTTTTAAAACAATAAAAAAAAAAAAAAGTGGACAAAAATAAAACAAAAAAAAAAATTAGTAGCCCAAAATCAAACACACGTATTTTCAGAATACGTTTTAATAATTAAATTTTATTTAAAAAACGTATTCTTAGTATACGTGTTATAATTAATTTTATTTAAAAAAAATTAAAAAAATTATAAAACGTATTGTTATAATACGTTTTTATTATAATACATTTTATATTTTAAAATTAATGAAAAAACAAATAATATTTAGTATGTATTTTGTGTTTCGAGCTCGTTTGAGATCGTCTGAACTCGGAATTGAGTTTCGTTTTTTCTTATACGTAGCTAACGACCCCCTCTATTCAATGATGCTTGCATGACCAAAGTATTCTTGAAATCTCTTGACCGACGGAACACCCAAAATCTCCTCTTCTCGCTTATTTTGCTACTATTCCCACGGGAATTCAAGTTTCTCTAATTAAATGCTCGGAACTCCGAAATACTCGATAAATGTCCCGCATGACATCGTGCCTGAATTATCTACACGCTCCAACTCGATTCTCGGTAAACCGAAGTCACATGCGACCTTGCGGGACCCACGTAAATGGCTTTTTCATTTATTTTACTAATATGTACTCTCGAACTCGAGCTTCTCCAAATAAATGATCGGGACCTCGAAATAATAAATTGACGCCATAAACGGCTTCTCCTCTTCTCGTGCTTTCTCGAAAGCACTTTTTGTTAATGCTCGACTCCTTTATCGAGGCCCGACGGAACACCCGAAGTCTCTTCTTCTCGCTTATTTTGCTCCTATTCCCACGGGAATTCAAGTTTCTCTAATTAAATGCTCAGAATTACAAAATACTCGATAAATGCCCTACATGACATCGTGCCTGAATTATCTACACGCCCCATCTCGATTCTCGGCAAACCGAAGTCAAAGTCGACCTTGCGGGACCCACGTAAACAGCTTTTTTCATTTATTTTACTAATAATCACCCTCAAACTCGAGCTTCTCTAAATAAATGATCGGGACCTCGAAATAATAAATCGATGCCATAAACGGCTTCTCCTCTTCTCGTGCTTTCTCGAAAGCACTTTTTGTTAATGCTCGACTCGCTTATCAAGGCCTGACGGAACACCCGAAGTCTCTTCTTCTCGCTTATTTTGCTACTATTCCAACGGGAATTCAAGTTCTCTAATTAAATACTCGAAACTCCGAAGTACTCGATAAATGCTCCGCTTGACATCGTGTCTGAATTATCTACACACCCCAACTTGATTCTCCGTAAACCGAAGTCACACGTGACCTTGCGGGACCCACGTAAACGGCTTTTTCATTTTTTTTACTAATATGCACCATCAAACTCGAGCTTCTCTAAATAAATGATCGGGACCTCGAAATAATAAATCAATGCCATAAACGGCTTCTCCTCTTCTTGTGATTTCTCGAAAGCACTTTTCGTTAATGCTCGACTCGCTTATCGAGGCCCGACGGAACACCCGAGGTCTCCTTTTCTCGCTTATTTTGTTACTATTCCGACGGGAATTCAAGTTTCTCTAATTAAATGCTCGGAACTCCGAAATACACGATAAATACCCCGCATTACATCGTGCCTGAATTATCTACACGCCCCAACTCGATTCCTGGTAAACCGAAGTCACACGCGAACTTGCGGGACTCACGTAATCGGTTTTTTTCATTTATTTTACTAATATGCACCCTCGAACTCGAGCTTCTTTAAATAAATGATCGGGACCTCGAAATAATAAATCAACAGCATAAACGGCTTCTCCACTTCTCGTGTTTTCTCGAAAGCACTTTTCGTTAATGCTCGACTCGCTTATCGAGGCCCAACGGAACACCCGAAGTCGCCTTATTAAATAAGCTAATATATAGCGAAAAATGAAGAAAATTAAATATAAATAATTTATTTTTTATAAAATGTATTGCAGCAATACGTTTTACAATTAAATTAAATTGTGAAACGTATTTTCGAAATACGTTTTCAAATTAATTAATTGTAAAACGTATTACGAAATTATTAAATTAGTTTTATTTATAAAACGTATTATTGAAATACGTTTTAAAATTAAAACGTATTCCGAGAATACGTTTTACAATGTAAAACGTATTCACAGAATACGACCTTTTGATTTTGGTCCACATTTTATTTTTTTTTTTGTTTTTGTCCACTTATATTTTTGAATTTTTATTTAAAGAAAAAAATCTACAAGTTACAACTTACAATTACTCTAAAACACCAAAAAATTACATTTGAGGGCACAAAATTCAACCCGGCATTATAAAGCGCAACAAGTTTTCATATAAGTTCGAAAAACTTAGATTGCGTATCAGCAGACATATATAGGAAAACTCTGCATTTATACATAGGAGGAATTGTGTATATTGATTTTCGCCACATAAGTCTTATTAATTTCAAGTTTGGAAGTTGCTTGAAAAACATGAATAAATATAATAAAAATTGCAACTTTAGTTTATGAGTAAAATGTTATTATCACCTTTTGAATAATTGATCTCTATCTATAATCTGATATCATGTCTCCTCAAATATAATATTACAGCTACAAAATTACGTATAAAAAAGAATAAGAAAAAAAAATATCTCTCTCCAAAATCTTTAGACCCTGTTCTGTTAGCCAAAGCCTGAAAAAAGTCCTCATGATATGAAAGACCGTTCATTACCCCCGTGGATTGCACGTGATTCCTTCTATCCAACAAAAATCTTTCCTTTGGCCCACAGAATATCTTCGGAGACTCCAGGAGTACCCTAATTAGCACCGTTTGATTTGATTATTATTAGTAAATTAGAACAAAAAAAAGAATAATCAGGAAAATTCGGTCTCTTAAAAAAGCAGAAATTAACGCGGAAACTAAAAAGGCATATTTTTCCATTTTTCATTCCCCTTGTTTTCAACGAGACGTTTTGGAATGTTCGTAAAGGCGTTACCGATAGGCGTGCTCCTACGCTCACTAATATTTACCTAATATAAAAATACAATTGTTACTACTTTAATTTTCCATTATCGATAACAAATTCATATGCAATTAATATTTATATACACCAAAGTCTATACAAATTATAATTTTTTTGTTTTGACATTTGATAAATTATTAATTTATTAATTAACTTTTCGGTACATTTAACGAACATTTTAATTTTTATTTCTGAACAAATATTCCCACATTAGTTTAATAGACTATTAGTCAATTCATTATATATTTTGTAGTCATATACAATGAATTTATGGAATTGTTACCAGTAGCTTGTTAGGGGGATTGGAGACGGTATAAGAAAACGGTATCTGAAATATAATTTTACTTGAGATTGAAAGAAATCCCAAATAATTGATCTAGGAAAATCTGATAATTCATCTACTGTTTTTAATCGGGACTATTATATGGTTTGACTGTACATTCATCATCGTATATAAAAAGCAAAAAAATGAAAAGTCACTGTGCCACGTCGGTGACCGAGAGTGAAGGGTTAGTCAAAATAAAATAGGAAATTGAAGGAAAAGCATATAATTAAGAAGAAAATGTTAGTGTTGTAATGGCGCATGTGTTTTGACCTCTGGTCTTTGGTCAGCTAGTTATCTAGTTTAAGGTTTCCCGTCGGAGTCTATAAAAACGAAGAAATTAAGGAGTCGTTTACACCAGTGTTTTCTTGGAGTTTTCGGTAATGGCAATCGGGTACGTGTTGTCTCTTGTTTCCATTATTGTACTCTTGGTGAGAGCTTTGGCCATAGATGAAACCTCGGATTTGAGGAGGTACACACAACATACATCTCTCTTCTTCTTTTATTTTCTTATCCATCATTTGATTATTACTTTGCAAATGTGTTGTTTTTGTTTTTTTTTTTTTTCTTTTCTTTTCTTTTCT